TACCCCAAAGCTAGGCTGTGACTCACAGACGCTGACTCAGCTGGGCTGGTGGCTCACAGACTGCTGACTCAGCTACGGTGGCTCACAGACTGCTGACCAGCGGGCGGTGGATCACAGACTGCTGACTCAGCTAGGCTGGTGGCTCACAGACTGCTGACTCAGTTTAGGCTGGTGGCTCACAGACTGCTGACTCAGCTAGGCTGGTGCTCACAGACTGCTGACTCAGCTAGGCTGGTGGCTCACAGACTGCTGACTCAGCTAGCCTGGGGGCCCTCACAGACTGCTGACTCAGCTAGGCTGGTGGCTCACAGACTGCTGACTCAGCTAGCGGGTGGCTCAAAAACTGCTGACTCAGCTAGGCTGGTGGCTCACAAAACTGCTGACTCAGCTAGCTGGGGCTCACAGACTGCTGACTCAGCTAGGCTGGTGCTCAGACTGCTGACTCAGCTAGGCTGGTGGCTCCCCAGACTGTTTGACTCAGCTAGCTGGGGCTCACAGACTGCTGACTCAGCTAGGCTGGTGGCTCACAGACTGCTGACTCAGCTAGGCTGGTGGCTCACAGACTGCTGACTCAGCTAGGCTGGTGGCTCACAGACTGCTGACTCAGCTAGGCTGGTGGCTCACAGACTGCTGACTCACTAGGCTGGTGGTGTCATCATCAGCAGAAATCACTAGTAAAATAATAATAAATAATAATGTCCTTTATTTACTACAAGTACATGTACAAGGTATACAAGTACATGAACAAGGTATACAAGTACATGTACAAGGTAAAACAGACCATTAGCGGACATCAATGACATACTACTATATAGAATGTCCTTTGTTATGCTGAGCATTTCCCCAAATTAGGTCACTTTTGTCCCAGGATGTGTCCCACACCAGTCCACTTACACCTAGGATGTGTCCCACACCAGTCCACTAACACCTAGAATGTGACACACACCAGTCCACTAACACCCAGGTACCCATATTAAACTGATGGTGAACAGGGACAGTGACAGTAGGTGTTTTTATGGAAACACGTGCCTGTGTTTTCCAGCCGTATCAGGGGAGATTCGATCTGCCCAGGTTACTTACTCACCCCATTGTCTAAAGTCAGGCTTTAGCCAGTTTTCGGACTTAGGTATCTTGTAGGCGTAGGGCCTCATACTAGGGGGTATAGGGTGAGGTAGGCGCCCTGCAGCTGGCTATGATGTAGGTGCTACGCCTTTGACTGCGTAATATGAACGTTGATCCTGGCTCCTAAACGAAAACAACCTGCCTATCTAAGGATATTTTTATTATTTTAGCCTGCAGTCAAAATTATGTATTTAAAATCTGAAAAAAAAGGTCCTTGCACACACTAGGGCCTTAAAAAAATCGTGAGAGGATAACAAGAATAAAATAACAATAAAATAACCAATGGCCTAGAAATTGGCCAAAAAAACCACCCACATACCTACACTAAACCATGACAACTTGTTCCAGCCTCCGCTTTTCTCGTACTAATTACATACCTTGGTGCTCCTGTAGTTTCTTAGTAGGTTCACCCGGTGTTGCCCGGGCCTGGATCTTCTCCAGATGGTGACTCCTGTCCTGGTTACTCTTCACGACTAATATGCTTCCAGTCTCAGAACAAATCCCGGACATTGACATTGTATATGGAGCGTTTTTTACGCAATAACTCTCCACAATACACTGAGTAAATACCCCCTCCCCTAGACCACAGATCTCACACAGCTAGCTGGACCCAGTAATACCCCCTCCCCTAGACCACGGGTCTCACACAGCTAGCTGGACCCAGTAATACCCCCTCCCCTAGACCACAGGTCTCACACAGCTAGCGGGACCCAGTAATACCCCCCCCCCTGGACCACAAGTCTCACACAGCTAGTGGACCCAGTAATACCCCCCTCCCCTAGACCACAAGTCTCACTCAGCTAGCGGGACCCAGTAATACACCCCTCCCCTGGACCACAGGTCTCACCCCAGCTAGCTGGACCCAGTAATACCCCCCCCTAGACCACGGGTCTCACTCAGCTAGCTGGACCCAGTAATACCCCCTCCCCTAGACCACAAGTCTCACTCAGCTAGCGGGAAACCCAGTAATACCCCCTCCCCTAGACCACAGGTCTCACTCACTGCTGGACCCAGTCAGGTGCAGCTAGTCAAGGAACAAACATTGGAAATTAACTATAATTCTGGGAATCACAAAATTCTCCAGAAATAAGAAAACTGCACCAAGCTCTGTCTTGGTCCCAATTTACTTGTACATAGAAAAAACATAAGAAATTTTTAAATCACCTTTAAGTTAAACTCTACAATAAACACTGCTAATCCACAGACTTGTGAAACTCGTTTGACAAGAAAGTGATCAGGTTATACGCCAAATGAGCCTCAGTGATGTTTTTTGGATTCACTCTGAACTTCAGCAGGAAAATGCACCATTACAACTCCGTGTTGGTCGAACACCTAAGTTGATGCATATTCTATACATGACATAAAATTACAGAGGGGACTGACTGGGTTTTCCTCTGTACATAATAATTAATAAAAAGTATACACAAGATTATATACAGGTAAACTTATTAAAAGTCGAGAAAGTCTGTTTTTAAACAGCATTAGCGTCCGTCATCTCACATCTCTGCTTTTAAATATGAAATAAGAGATTAAGAAAAATATATAAAGTCTCCAAAACTGCAAAAAAATTAGTGTACATACTAATGCAAATAGATAATTACATTATCAATGGTGCGTCTCACAGCAATAAACAAAACTGGCTACGCAAGACACATCACTGGGAGAAATTGGAAGTACGAAAGGGTAAATTACCAGACTTCAAAACTGGGTAGTTTAGTCACATATAAATTTTGTCAACCATACCCCCGGCCGGGATTGAACCCGCGGTCATAGAGTCTCAAAACGGGCTGGAGTTTGAGACTCTATGACCGCGGGTTCAATCCCGGCCGGGGGTATGGTTTATTTGCAATCGTGTCATTACGATTTCTTAAGTCATAAATTTTGTCAGTGGACTGTGACCTAGAAAAACACACTGGAGTCATCACCATTGACCCGTCAACAGGTGGGTCTCCCAAGCCTTCACCTACACTGTTTTTCCAAGGAACCCTGAGTCACCACACTTGGTGCTCCAGAAAATAAGCAGGTGGATCCTGGAGAAACACAACACACAAAATACACAGGATCACTATCATTACCCAAAAATTGTGAGGCATCACCACCAACATCGTACCTTTGGTCTAACAGGAGGCCTGGTCATGGACCGGCCGCGGGGGCGTTGATCCCCGGAATAACCTCCAGGTAACAGTGCTTACATCAACATTACACAGGTGAGGCATCACCACCAGCATCGTTCCTTTGTCCAACATTACGTCAACATTACACAGGTGAGGCATCACCACCAACATCGTTCCTTTGGTCCAACATTTACATCAACATTACACAGTGAGGCATCACCACCAACATCGTTCCTTTGGTCCAACATTACGTCAACATTACACAGGTGAGGCATCACCACCCACCTTACCTAGGCATGTACTGATGTGATACTACCAAAAACACACACACACACTTGGGAAATCTGATACCTCCCTCCACCAGCTTCAGTCCACTAGGTGGTCAGAAAGCCATCTACTCACCTTCTGCAACCACTGAAAAACAAGACCCAGATAAATGTCTACATTATGAACAGTACATACGAGAAATTTCATGAGCAACCACATTCACTATCCCCTTCACATAATGAATCACCAAAGTGAGCATCTGAGTGTGGTTCCTCGGTAAGTGAAGAAAATGTACGACTGTCATCACTGTACCGAAAAAATTCTGGAAAATCAACACAAAACAAGATCCTCTTTTTCTGTTGTGGCATAAATTCTCTGGTGACTTTTAAGTTTACTGGCAGAAATTGTCCTGCTTTTTTCAATAAAGCAGCATTAATACCAACAGAACTGGCGTCTATCTGCAGAGAAAATGACAGTGCAACATTGTAACTATTCATTACAGGAGCACTAACAGTATATCAAACGGTTGAATACCCTTAAGCTGTATTCCCTGGAACGCAGGCGAGAGAGATACATGATAATACACCACTGGAAAATCCTAGACGGATTAGTACAAAACTTGCACACGAAAATCACTCCCTATGAATACAAAAGACTCTGCAGGAGATGCAACATTCCACAATGAACAGCAGGGGTGCCACGAGTACAGTGACAGACAACACAATAGGCGTTTGGGGCCTAAGACTGTTCAACTGCCTCCAGCATACATAAGGGGGATTATCAATAGACCCCTGGCTGTTTCAAGACCCCTGGCTGTCTACAAGAAGCACTGGACAGGCACCTAAAGTGAGTACCTGACCAACCCG